CCGATGCCTGCCGAGCGCAATCAAGACAGAAGCCTTGCTTCTGAGTTTCATCTCCAAATTTTCTCCCCCTTAAAGTTGCCATTTCAGCCTAGATACCTCTTTTTTTTTTTTTTTTTTTTGCACATCAGATTGTAAGCATGCCCACAGATCAATATTTTATGGGCTAAGAGGTCATCTGCCAAGGTTGGGGGGAGGCAGTTAAATGCTTGAAGCTTGTGGTGGTATAAAGCACAACTCAGAGTTAAAAGACCGTCCAGTGCAGGTAAAGTTAATTCGAATATTCAATTACATGCAAGAGGTATTGAACCAGTAGGGGAGAGTAGTTATACCCTTATTTCTCTCCTGCTCTTTGGAAGGAGCCACATGTGGGGAGGAAAGGAGTGAACAGACCAAGCTAGATGCAGAACGGGCATCAGGAACAAGTTACCGTTATCATGTGGAAACAAACCGACTTCTCCGTTTCAGAATAAACAACAAAGGTCGGGGAGGGGGAGTTAACTTTTATTTTTAAAACAATGCTCGAAAGATTCGTGTTTACCAATTGTAGTATTTTCCTTCTGGGTTTATCTTAAGGCACGCGGGAGAGAAAGTAACGTTCAAGAAGAAAGCCCCGTCGGCAAGTTTGGCTTCTGAGCGTGTAAATTATGAATCACCACGGCGAAAGGTTTTCATTCATTCATTCTTTCTTTTTTTTTTTTTTTTTCCTCACACTTTTCTTTTCTCCTGGAGGGTGAACTTGTTAGATAGATAGATGAGGCCATGAGGAAATGGAAATGCTGGAAAGCCCAGGTCCTTTCAGAGCAGCCTGTGGGGCTGGGAGGCGGCCGCAGCGCTCCTTTCCCGAGCGGAGGGGCGCCGGCTCGCTCCGGAGCTGTCCCAACTCACGCCTTCGCGGCCGTCCGCGGGGCCGGACGCCGGGCTCGGATCGCTGCCCAGGCAGTCTACCCTTTGGCCTTAGAATAAACACCCCAAAAGACAAGAGAACGGCCCCTAATTGAGCTGAGTATCTTCTCTCTAGCTCGGAACACAAAACAGGGCCCGCAGGTTTTCCTAGAGGAAGTCCCGACCACAGAACAGTTGGAGAGTGGGAGATACTAGGTTTTAAGGAAGTCTGGAATTACACATGAAACATTATTTTCTTAATTAATTAAAAGTAATTCTCTTGCCCTATTTATATGCATGTACATGCTATTGATTATGAGCCCCTATTTACTTGAAAAAATGTTTAGAGTATCTTTAATACGCGCTGCTCATTCTTTGTCCTCTCGTACATTTACAGCTGATAGTGTGGCTGTTTGGGACCAATTAGAACTGGATTTTGCCTCAGGATTGCTCCCCAGGGCGGACAAATGTAGCCAATTCATCTCCAGCGACTTTTTTGCCCACGTACGTATCCACGCCAGCGCTTCAGAAGCAGTTTAAAATCCCCAGCCTTGGTTTTGCTTGATTTTGTTGTCGTTGTTATTGATAAATATTGGGTCATACACAAGCCACTTGTCAGTGACTTTGGCTCCACCTCACAGCTGCAGCTCCTAATAGGGCGTTTGAGTTGTGTCCTAGGAACCAAAAACTTTTTGCTGGGAAACAAACCCTACACATTCGCTGCTGCTTCAGTCTTGGAGATGGTCCCTAAAGATCATATTTTCTATCTTCTGTCATGTTTATTTCTTGATTTGTTCCGATATGGGAACATGGGGTAGATGTCTGTGTCTTTTTCCTCAACTTTTAAAAAAATTGAAATGGCCTAAAGAAGGGTAGGAGGGGAGAAACTATTGATCTTAGTCCTCTAGGTATATTTTAAACCAAAAGAGCATAGGCAAATAGACAGATAATTGTAATGGAGAGGGGAGGAGTTGGTAGGTAGGGAATTTGGGGGTCGTGTAATAGGAGTAACATATACAGTTTATCTTTCAGCTGTGCTGTATGTATTCTTTCCCTTGATACATACTGCACATGAACTGAACCCATGATCTGCTTGTCTTGGCATGTTTGAAGCCCCAGACACCCAACAGTATCATTACAGGAAAGACACAAAGCCCCAAAGACTCCAGGCAGGAAGGCGGCTGCCTTTGGGATGAATGGGGAGTTTATCTTGGCCTTGAAATTGTGGGGGAAGCACACCCACTCTTTCAGACTCCCTGGTTGTGCAGAGTTCAGGTCTTCCCTTAGTTGAAGTGCAGGGAGGGGATGAGGGGGGGAAGAAGCTGATTTTCGACATTTCAGAGGGACTCTTTCTATTTATCAGTGTTACCGAAGTATACGTTACTGGAGAAACAACAAAACAAGCTTAGAGCTGCAATTTTCAAGAAAATAGGATCCCCAAATATAAAAATAAAAAAGTAGCAGATAAAATGTATAATTCAATCAAATTACACAAAATTGCTTGAAAATCCAGAACAGTAGCAATCCATTATGCCTGTTTTATTAGTGACAAGTACAATTACTCTAAAATAAAGAACACTGGTGAATATATAATTGGCTGTAATCATGTTAGTGTTTGAATAAAAATGACGGGAACATTTAACACTTTGACAACAAAATGTTCAGAAATAACTTATTTATTCAAACAGTTTTTATTTTCCACCAAGTGAAGGAGAAACACAGTTTGCTTAGGAAAATCAATGAATTTTCCCTGCAATAAATAAATATCCAAAAGGGAAAAAAAAACCCAGCCCCACACCTCTATATTATTATTATTATTCTTTTTAACCAGCAAGACGCTTAATCCTGTGTTTGAAGTCAGCACTCGCCTAGCAGTTGTTCGGTGCTGAACTCCGCCACCTAGAGGAAGAGCTCTGCAGCTCACCCCAACGCCAACCCCTTTTCCTGCGGTAACCTCGGGAATCAAAGTTAATATTCCCTGGAAAATTGGACCCCAAACTACCTCCCCTCCCACACGCCCTCGCATCCCCTTCCGCCCTACAACGTCGTCACAATATTTTCTTAGTAATTGCTCTGCGCAATTGACGGAAGCGCCGATCTCCGGCAGCGCGGCGCTGTCCCAGGAAAGCGTGAGGGTGCACCGGGGAAGCGGGTCAGGCGATGGCTGGTTCTGGAGAGACAATCCACTTTCATCCAAAATTCGTTTAGAGCAGCCTGAATTCGGGTGGCATAAAATGACGGCTGGTGACAAAACCACCACATTCCAGTGCTTTTTTCGGGTTTTCTTAGAGAAAACAGCCCTGATCCCGCTGTCGGCCAGTTGGCACCGCGGGAGCTTTCCCCGACTTTTCCTCAATCGACAGCTTCCTCCTCCCGCAACACGAAGATCTGAGATCTGAGCTTTATCTAATTAGTTTTTGGAGCCCAGTGGGTCCTTTTATTTTCCTAGGTGGGAAGCTTGAAGTACTGAGTTAAACGTATTAATGGAAGAGGCCATGTTTGGATGGGTCCCCCTGTGGCCAGGGAGACTGACGCAGGAGAAACCCCAGGTTTTTATCCTCAATCCCGGAGTTTGAAGAAACTTCTGGAGCACGCGAAAGGATTTGGAGCTGGATTCGGAGGCACTACGAGCTTTTTCCTATTTTATTCTTGGTAGATCCCATTGGCTCCTCAGGCAGAAAAAGAAAACCTCACTCCCTGATCTCGCCCGGCTGCTCTAAAGCAAATCTTGGGGAAGGCTGATGCTTAACGAGGGTGAAGGGGGCTATGTAAAA